AGTTACGTTGTGACATTTGATACACCCAAAGCACTCCTACGGTATCCAGGAGTTACACGCTCTCATGGTCGAAGGAAGAGATACTTGACATTTGAAAAGCTTTAGCATACGAACTACACGATCTAGTGCTATGCTTAGGATTGATCTGATCCCGTTATCAACGACATCCAATGTCCATGGTCAGGAAACCGTGACCATCTATTGATCAACGAGCTAGTCAACTAGAGGCTTACTAGGGACATGGTGTTGTCTATGTATCCACACGTGTATTACGATTTCCGGATAATACAGTTATAGCATGAATAAAAGACAATTATCATGAATAAGGAAATATAATAATAACACTTTTATTATTGCCTCTAGGGCATATTTCCAACAGTCTCTTCCTTCCACCAGGGAGCGCCAAACCTGTGAGGGGTTCTTACCCAGTCCAGCTTCAAGGATTGATGAGGTACGGTAATAAACTGCTTTAAGAATCCGGGCACTCAGAGAGGTTGGCTCCTGGAGAAGACGCCAAGCTTGCCTTGCAAGAAAGGCTAGGTTGAAGAGCTCGATGTCGCGAAACCCCATTCCTCCCATGAACTTCGGCTGTGTCATGACTTCCCACGATACCCAAGCGGTCTTTCTTTCTCCGTTTTTCGATCCCCACCAAAACTTCCTCAAAATGCCATTGATGTGCTGGCATAAGCCTCCGGGGAGTTTGAAACATGCCATAGAGTATGTAGGAATTGCTTGGGCCACCGATTTGATGAGCACCTCCTTCCCTCCAACCGAAAGTGCTTTCTCCATCCAGCCCTGCACTTGCTTCCAAATCCTGTCCTTGAGGTATTTAAATGATCCCTCCTTGGCTCTCCCTACATCGGCAGGAAGGCCCAGATATTTTTCAGACAACTTCTCATTTTGAACTTGAAGTATTTGCTTTACCTCTTGCCTCGAGGTTTCTGAACATCCCTTGCTGAAGAATATGGAGGATTTCTCCTTGTTAATTCGTTGTCCCGATGCCGCACAGTATTTCTGGAGGAGGGAATCCACTCTGCTTGCCATCTCTGGAGTAGCATTAAAGAATAAAAGACTGTCATCTACAAAAAGCAAGTGATTTACCTCAGGTGCACCAGGTGCAACCGTGATGCCATTTACAATCTCGTCCGGTTGTGTGGATTTCAGAAGGCAAGAAAGTCCTTCAGCAGCCAATAAAAACAGATATGGGGATATAGGGCACCCCTGCCGGAGTCCTCTGGAAGGCTGAAACTCCTCCTGCTTGTCACCGTTAAAGATGACTGAAAACGAGACCGATGTGACACACCTCATCACTTTTTGTGTAAAAAGCGGGCTGATTCCCAGTTTGAGCATAACTCTCTCCAAATAATTCCACTCTAGCCTATCGTAGGCCTTCATCATATCAAGTTTTAACGCGCAATACTTGTTGCCCTTCAACTTCCTGGTTTTCATGAAGTGGAGACACTCATAGGTAGATATGAAGTTGTCTGTAATAAGACGTCCTGGAACAAATGCAGATTGTTCTTCGGAGATGATGTGAGGGAGAATGAGCTTGAGCCGATTTGCCAAAGCCTTGGAGGCAATCTTGTAGACCACGTCGCAGAGGCTTATCGGTCGAAACTGTGCTAAATTTTTTGGACTAGCAATCTTGGGTATTAAAACAATGAACGTTTTGTTGATCTCCTCCGGGGAATCCTCTCCTTGAAGAACTCTGAGCACCATCGCAGTAACCTCATCACCACACAACTTATCGGTGGAAACTGTGCTAAATTTTTTGGACTAGCAATCTTGGGTATTAAAACAATGAACGTTTTGTTGATCTCCTCCGGGGAATCCTCTCCTTGAAGAACTCTGAGCACCATCGCAGTAACCTCATCACCACACAACTCCCAGTGTCGTTGAAAAAAGTGTGCAGGGAAGCCGTCGGGCCCTGGGGCCTTGGTCGGGAACATCTGAAAAAGAGCCGTTTTCACCTCGGCATTGCTGTACGGTGCGGTAAGTGATGCGTTCATAGAAGCATCCACCCGTGAGGGTATATGTGACAAAACCTCCTCGATGCCTACTGTATCCTCCGAGGTGTACATATTGCTATAGAACGCTGTAGCCATCTCCGCCATCTCATATTCGTCCGTGCATGCCGAACCATCTGGACGTTGTAGCTCAACGATCTTGTTTTTGGCCTTCCGAGCACTTGCTTTACGGTGAAAAAATTTAGTGTTGCTGTCTCCTTCCGCAAGCCATTGGATTCGCGCCCTCTGGCGCCACATAATCTCCTCCCTTAGGCACAACTCTACCATACGAGCTTCCACTCTTCCCTCTTCGCTCGATGGTTCCATTCGGTTGGGGAGCGAGCGTAGCTCCTCGAGCTGCTTACGTAGACGGCGAAGTTCTGCCCTCACCGCACCGAAGGTAGTTCGCCCCCAGCTCTGTAGCTCGTTCACCACCGATGCTAGCTTGCCGGAAAGTTCCGTTACAGTATTGGCTCGGCCTGTAGCATTCCAAGCTTCAGATAGTATGTCGCCAAACCGCGTGTCCCTCTCCCACATGCATTCATAGCGAAAGCGCTTTTGGTTGGCCCGCACACTGGTGTTAGCTAGATCAGTCTCCAAAAGGATTGGGCAGTGGTCAGACTTGGCCGCCGTGAGATGTTCAAGGGAAGCAAACGGGAAGAGGCCCGACCAGCATGGTGTAGCCAAGGCTCTGTCCAAACGAACGCGACAAAAGTGACCACCGGCAACCTTCTTCTCCCAAGTCCAGTCTAACCCTCGGTATCCCAGATCCGCTAGACCACATATGTCCACCGCTTCTCTGAATGCATCAATTTGTGAGCTGTCCCGCTCACGAGGGCCATGTTGCTCTTCTGGCCGCAAGATCTCGTTGAAATCACCTATGCACAGCCACGGGAGAGTGCTCTCACCCCGCAAACGCTTCATAGTATCCCATGTCTTGTATCGTAGGCTTCTAGTGGCCTCTCCATAAAAACAAGTTAGCCTCCATTGCTCTTTCCCTGGTTCCTTGACCCATGCATCAACATGATACTCGGAATAATTCTTTATTGCAACTTCAAAAGAGTTTTTCCAAAAGATACAAAGGCCGCCACTGCGGCCCGTGCTACCAACTCCAAAACTGAAATCATAACCTAACATAGTCCGGAGACCTTCAACACGACTTTTTTGCAATTGAGTTTCAACTAAACATAAGATAGCAGGCGAACTAATCTCCACGAGATCGCGGAGTTCACGAACTGTCGCAGGATCGCCTATCCCACGACAGTTCTAGCATAAGAGTTTCATTGGGCCTGGCGGCGCCCCAGATCGGAGCCCGCCAACAATGCCGAATTGTTTGGTTTCTGTTTCGTTGGTGATGATGCTTTCTTCGCCTTCTTTGCATCTCTAGGCGATACATACTGTGGGGGTGGTGGAGGGACAGCTAGCATAGCCCATCCTGCAGCGCCCGGGTCTTTCTGGTTCATCTCTGAACTTCCTCCATTAGTTTGCTGAATTTGGCCTGGCGCGTTGCTGGACACAGAGAAGTTCAGGTTTCTTCGGGCTCCCATTGCTGCAAGTTCCTTTTGCTCTGAACTGACTGGTTTCAAGGGGCTGGTAACTTCTTCATCTTCCGTTGCTGCACCTGAGTTCAGCCCTGCTTCCTGAGATGTGCGTTTACGTACTGGGGATGATTGGCGGGGTGGTGGGGTGCCCCGGCCTGTTCTTCCTCTGCCTCGGCCTCCAAAACGGCCCCCTCGAGCTGCTCGGCCGCCACCCAACTGCTCCTGAGCTACTTCCCTCCGTTGTGCCAGCATCCAACTGCCCCATTGCTTATCCTTTGCCTCCCAAACTCCATCTCCACACTCCTCATGGTTGTGGCCCATGAAACCACAAACTTGGCAAAAATAGGGGATTTTTTCATATTTGACAGGGAGGAATCTCCTTCCCTCGCCCACTACGTTCAACGGAGTCACCCTCGTGAGGGGTTTATTCACCAGGATTCTAGCACGGACCCGAACATAATCACCCTCATAGAAGAGCCTAGGCGATAGCTGAGTCTCCTTGACCCGGCCGATCCGTCGAGCAAGTTGATCAACCACCTCAATCTTGTGATAAAGTTCAGGTATATTATGGATCTGGGCCCAGACATACAGGCCATCGAAGACAAAGGAAGATGGTTCTTGCTTGCCATCATAATCTTCAATGAGCATCCCCATCCCTCTGAACAGCCAGGGTCCTCCATGAACCACTTTCTTCCAATCTCCAAGGCAAAACATCTGAAAGATGTACAGGTTCTCCCCAGCTTCTCTATATGTTGGCACTTGTGCAAGCCCCCAGATGGACTTCATGGTCTCAAACATCAAAGATGAACTGAATTGACGAGTTGTGTTTACCTTCCCGATCGCCAGCCATCGTGCATCTGCCTCATACTTCTTTGTATCTTCCTCTCCCACGGTCACATCATCCAATTAATCGTCCTTGAGATCGAGGTGCTGCAGCATCTCCTCCAGTTTCTTGCCCGACCACCCCGCCGAAGAAGATCCTGCTTCGGTCGCCATCGGGGTGGAAACCACGGTTTGCGTGCCGCCACAGGACGGAAACAAGGGTGGCCGATCCTCCCCTCCGCTTCCTCACGCGGGCGGGATCAACAGAGGTCGCACCTGCGTGAGATCCGGGCGGGAAAAACTCTAGACGGCGGAGGCGGCGCCGCCAGAGGCGAAAACCCTAAACGAGAGGGTAGAAGATTTCCCACCTCTTAAGCTCCTTGCATCTGTGCTCTGGCCCATGCACGACACAACAAGAAAACAGAGCGGCCCACCGACAAGTTTAGCTCATCAGCCCGCCTGATTTTAGACTGTTTGGGGCCTGGACGTTGGCGGTGCACACCCCGGCCGCGCCCTTTCTGCAGGGAAACTCTACAGTTCTTTACCCAGTGGATCCAGAGAGACAGACTAGTGGGTCCTACCTGAGCACTCTCCTTCCGCGGCAGTGGAAGTCGGAATTCCGTGTAAGGCCATGGCCTCCGAGCAATCACCATCTCCATCGCCGCCGCCGCCGCCGCCTGCTCCCACCACCGTAATCGATCTCGGCGACGATCTCCTCCGCGAAATCTTCCTCCGCCTCCCCTCCCTCCCGAGCCTCGTCCGTGCCGCCCTCAGCTGCCGCACCTTCCTCAACGCCGTCCGCTCGTCCCCCGTCTTCCGCCGCAGCTTCCGCGCGGCCCACCCACCCCCTCTCCTCGGCTTCTTCTTCGACCCCGACGGCCCCGCCATCCCTGCCTTCGCCCCCGTCCGCCGCCGCTCCGACCCTGACAGCGCAGCCGCCGTCCGCGGCGCCGATTTCTTCTTCACCCGCCTCCCCGACGACGACGACGCCTCCCCTGGGTGGCTCGTATGCGACTGCCAGGGAGGCCACGTGCTCCTCTGCAACAGAAGGACGGGACAGTTCGCCGCCTACAACCCCCTCACAGGGGCCCTGGATCTCATCCCTCCGACGCCCAACGAGTTCTTCGACGACGGCCACGGCCTTACCTCGCACCTCGATTGCTTCATCCTCGCCTCCGAAGAGGGCGACGGGCCGTTCCGCCTTGTCACTATCTGTCACGACGAGTCGCGGGTGCGCGCCTCCGTCTTCTCGTCAGATAGCAGGGAGTGGCGGATCCTCCCGTGGTCTGAGGCTGTGGAGCCACTGCCTGAAGACGAACACTGGCTTAAAGTTGGCACGATGGTGAATGGGTCCATCTATTGGATACAAGCAAATGAAGCCGGCTTGCTCGTGCTGAACACCGCAACGCTACAATTCTCTCAGATGGATCTGCCACCCTTCTTGGAAGGAAAAACTCACCTTGTGTGGCCTGGCATGGCCAAGGACGGGAGGCTTTGTATCGTTTGCCCAGTTGATTTTGGTATCCATGTTTGGTTCTGGCGAGCCGATGAGAAAGGCTTCGAGAGATGGATGCTAGACAAGAAGTTTCAGTTAGAGTTAAAGTCGATTGTTGAGGCCACTGGGCGTTCACTAGAAGATGTTGAGCTGCATATTGTGGATACTGTCGATGGGTTTGTGTACTTCTCTACCGGTGAAACGTTCCATAATGTTCACGCTCCTTCGTGGTTCCTGTCTTTGTGCATGGAGACGGCGAAGCTGGACAAGCTCTTTGAGAAGAGATGTGACAGCCATGTCCGGCCCTACATCTTGGCATGGCCTCCCTCTTTGGTAAATAACAAGTTGTGCCCTCTACTTGAAGGAGAAGGTGCTTGATGGAATTCTGGCAAGGTATCATAACGTTTCGTTCTATCGTCCACTGTATGTATTGTTCAAGTACTGATATTTTGAAGATGAGAAAGAGAAGTCCATTGTTATCTTAGACTGTGTTAGACACATGCAAACTGGGCTATCTGCATTTATAGCTTTCGTCGAATACTTGCTTGTGTTTACTATCATTAGGTGTTTTTTTGCCATTCATGCCCAAGGACCTGCATTAGAACTAACAACTAAGTTTAGCTGTAGTGCATGTGTGGCAATACCCTACAGCTCTATAGTCTATATGTCTGGTTGCATTTCTTAACTTGTTCAACTATTACATTCCACTACTGTCTTTGAGACAGAGATTCCACTACTATATTGTTACAGCTATCATTTTGATTTGATTTTTCGTTTTGTTGCCAGTTGGACTGATTTTGGTTTGGACTGTCTCAACTCCCTAGCTAAGTACCCGATTGTTTGTTTTGCTTTCCCTTTAGTTCTCCTTATTATATGAAATGAGATCCACATCTATCTACTAGGAACACAGAACTTTCCATTTTAACCATTTTTAGGCATGCTTCGATACTATTCATTGTTAAATCGAGTATATTGGTGCAAAGGATGAACCATTCCTGAACTAATGTGCTTTTTTTTTCTGTTTTAAGAAGGTCTTTGTTTTATAAAACTGGGATCAGTATACTGCATCTTTTGGAAGATTGTTGCAACTACAACAGCATGGATTAAAAGGGAAGGTCAGACTGTAGTTTAAGTGTAGTTTATTGTTTATATGTGATATACCTCCGCGGCGCTTTTATTTAACAGGATTAAAATCTCTTTGAAACTGGTGAATAAACTATTGCTCCTTGGGCACCCTGGCCCTGTTTTGTGCCCTCCAATTCCTGTTTTACACTTTTAGGCTAGGAGGAGGAAGATGCAAGTAGATGGGCACTGAACAAAACTGGTGTTCTTCCAGCTCAGTCAATGTTTGTGCCTCTGGAAAGTAGTTAGGTTTAATTGGCCACATAAGAAGAACCTTTGGTTTGTTAGAGCACCACTAAAAGTAGAACCTGTTTCTGGCTTGCTGTTAGGAAAATAATCCTAACTAAAAACAATTTCGTTAAAAGGGTTGTGTTGGTGGTACTAAATGAATGTTTTGTAGCAATGCAGAGACTGTGGATCGTCTCTTCTTGGCCTGTGCCGTGTCTCTAAAGACAATTTGGTTAAAAGGGTTGTGTTGGTGGTACTAAATGAATGTTTTGTAGCAATGCAGAAACTGTGGATAATCTTTTCTTGGCCTGTGCCGTGTCTCTCTTTTGTTTGGGGGCGGGGACTTAGAGAAATGTGTTGCTGGTTTGGCTATGTCCCCATGAGGCTTCTCTGATATTAGTGGCTGGATCCTTCGTTTTCATGGTAAAGATAGACATTTGGTAGTTGTGGGCTTTGCGTTGTAATCTGTTCTACTGCGTATATGGAAGACTAGGAACAAAAACATCTTTTGATCATGTTTACTCGCATGATCCAACAAATGTGGATAACTCATTTGTTGTATTGGTGTGGCAAGCAGACACAAGGCAGGCGGTAGCAGCAGCGCAGCGTCTGAGATCAGCAAACAGGCGTCTGGAGTTGGTTAAACCATGAGGTGATGTTCTTCCAAGGCTGTCAATGATCTGAGTAATAGCAGCGCTGTAGTTACAAACTGTTCTGTAACCTGTCGGTACTAACCTTTCTGGTTGTTGCGATCCTTCTAGCTTTTGTTAGGGTAGGTACTAGAGTATATGCATGGATGCCGGTTTGCGCTTTGTTGTTTCGTCGGCCTTCTTTTTAAAATTGAACCTGGATGTTAACCTGGATGTTTGTCTTGTACTCTTGTTGGTTTCGTCGATGTTTGTTCTCTTATCGGGTTTCGTTCCGAAACTTTAGTCCTTTACCCAGGATAAAAAGGTCTATCGGCAGTGGTAAATATGGCCTCGACGGATCTCATGGTATCTTCGCAGCCCGGATGTTTGCAGGCATATTGCAGATTTGTACTCTAGTAACCATTCTTCATGAATTACTATTATAGTTCTTGTAGGATCTTTGAGATAGGTTTGACCGAAGAATGTGCTATGCTTTCTGATTTTAGCAAGTTTTGATTTGTTTCAGGGTGTTATATTAGTTTTTTTAGGGTTTGGGTTTTTTCTTATTTCAAAGTGTAACATAATATTCTGCTGTGGACAATTTGTTTGTGTTTATTTTGTTGGTTGAAATTGTCCTCAAGGTTCAGTATGACGGTCCTGGTGCCCTGTGTCTTGGTCGGGCCTTCTTGGCTAAAGATTGGGCAAGGCGAGTTTATGTCGTTGCGGTCGTAGGCCGGTTGGTGAGGACTGTGGAGTGAGGACGGTCACTTTTGTGTAATGTCTTGGCTTCTTATTGCGTTGCTCGTATTGTAGATCGTGTAAAACGTTGGTCGTCCCCGCCGTAATAACATTTTCTTCTCCATGGAAATGAAATGCTTCCGGGCGCTTTTAGACGTGCTCAAGCAAAAGATGATGAAGAGGAAGCATATAGGATCTGGGAATAATAACCTGCAAGTTCCCAAATGGTGTCAACTGTCAGTGCGGTCACCGCTGCAGTACTCGCCATCTTGCATTTTCGCGAGGAAATACCTGCCATCTGACTTGTACTACAGCATGACGACGATTTCAGTTCATTAGCAGTAGTACAATTCGTACTACTACTCTGTACTACTACTACTACTCGCTACGTCCATTTGATTTCGGTACTACCGGCAGTTCAGTTTAGCAAGTGATGTAGTACTGTCACCATTTCATTGGCCCAAACGCCATCGCCAGCTCGATGGAGCTCATGGATCTCTCACCGATTTGAGATCCAGATGATAAATCAAGGAGGTCGACACAACACAAGCATAGTACGATCTGTAGTACAACAACGCTGGTCAGTTCCCCACGGCAGTACAGCCGGCGCCATCGCCAGGCTCTCGCCTCGTACTACTCCTTACTACAAATAATGGGGATCTCCCGGTCTCAAAAACTAAGCCATGATTCCTGCTTGCGCCTACGGAAGCTAAGCTAGCCAGATGCAACGAGATACTACTACTGGGGAAGACGAAGAGGAGGAAGAGACGCAAAGGTGCCATTGAGTGCAGCGTTGATGAACCGTCCGGCCTCCTCCGAGGCCGGAGCGGTTCACCGGCGCTGCACACAATGACGCCTCTGCTTTCTCTGGCGAAACAATCACCATTGGCACAGGCATTCATCAGCTACCTGTGCACGCTCATGTGCCGACGGAGGCATGAAGCGGAGAAGAGGAGCTCAGTTGGGGCCCCAGCAGACGAGGTGGTGCGCCTTTCGCAGCTTCGCGTCCTCCGCGGACAAAGGCACCGGCCGGGGAGCGGCGGCCGCGGTGGCCTCGGAGAGCGAGGCGGACAGGGCGCGGACTCTGGGCGCGGCGGCGGCGTGGCGGTAGAGCGAGCGGAGCGGGTAGCCCCAGCGGCACAGGCCCGCCTGGTCCTTGAGCGCCTCCACGGCGCCCACGCTCGCCGCCACCACCAGCGACGGCGCCTTCCTGCTCGCCGCCGACGCCATCGCAGCCCCTAGCTCCTCCCCTCGATTGCTTTCTTTCTCTCGATCTCTCGATCTCTCCTTCTGCACCGCACCTGGTTTACTGCTCAAGTGGCTCGTCTTGTCGGTGATCTCTGCGGGGAGATCATTTTTATACGCGATCGGGGACGCGAAACAGGCGGCGAAACGGAGGAGCGGCCTAGGGGGAAACGGGGAGCGGGCTGCTGGTTTTGGACGGCGCGTCCGATGAAACGGGGCGGCGGACGAGACGTGGCGGTACAAGAAAGTTTTTTTTTGAGGGTATGGTACAAGAAAGTTGACAAACGTAGATTAGTGGCTGGAGCTGATTCATTCTGTCAAACCGGGGGCTGTTAGCTCTAAGACTCGCGGAGGCGGATTCACCGTCCTCCCTAGCCACGTCACGCTCTCCTCGCTAAAAGTACTACCCCTGGGCCATAAACATAAATTAAGAAAATATCAAGAATCAATATTCATGCAAAAAGGAAACACGCGTTGTAAAACACAAATTAAGAAAATTCCAAGAATCAATATTGATGCAAATTGTAAAAGTTGGCTATCTATTAGATTCTCTATCGATATTTGAAATGACAAAGTACAAGATCGTCCAAGACTACCGAAAGATAGTATAGATACAAAGTCATATATACCTCACATACTACATACCTGAAAAAAATACCTCACATACTACAGATGACACCGTCCGTGGCCTCCTGGCTGACCAGCGACCGCATACCTGACCGGCCATCCAGCATCGCGGCAGTCGTTACAGCGCACGGCAGCGGCTACACACCGTGGCGGCGGTCAGGCGGTCAGGGAGTTCATGATCGACCGAACTCGGGTTGCAGCATTTCCAAAAATGGAGTGTCACTGGAGTGCCAGAGGCGAGCGGAGGAGAGTCCATCGGTGTCAACCTCGTGCACGACCTGGCCGGGTGCTGCCGGATGAGCTCACGTCCGGGCTTTACTCCATCCCGCGTTCCACACTGTCAAGGCGTTCCACACTGTCAAGGTGGTCAAGGATGCGGAGCTGCCTAGCCAACGATCCGGCGTCCCCGCTTACTGCCAACCAGGGCCGCTGGCAACCCGTAGCCGACGACGTCCCGCACACGACGATCGAAGATTAGAAGCAGGTTTCATCACAGGAGAAGCACGCGCCTGCGAACGTCTAGAGGCCATCATCGTGCGGACCTTCCGTCTGCCGTTGGTTCTCCTTTCGCACGGCTGTCTCCCATCTCTGCCGCTTCCACCCTTTTCTCTCCCGCCTCACTGGTCACTGCCCACATGAACGACGACGGCCACGGCCACTGCGAAAGCTGATTTGATCACACCGCAACGGAGGACTCCAGACGTGACTACCACGACATTCTCGCCTATCTCCTAAACTTGCTTTTCCTCTCTACAAAGTCAAAGGGGCTGCACGAGCGACACGGAAATAGAAAAGGTCCAAAATAGCTGACACGAAGGTGCACAACTGGGACGAAACAAGCCATCCGAAGCAAACCATCGGTCCACCGACCCACTGACGTACAGGGCAGACCACGGCGGAAGCAAAATCCAAATAGCCGAGAGCTCCCTAAAAAATGAGGCCTGAGCCTGACCAACAAGGCCCACCACAGAAAAAAAATGCCAAAGCTCTCTCAGCGCTCTATTTCACGAGAGCTTAGTAAGTAGATAGATATGAACTTCTATCCTGCAACAGGAATTTTCAGCCTTGTTCTAATATCTAACTGAAGTTCTGGAGGAAAAAAGGTCAAAATGTAAAAGCTAGTGTGCCTAGTACTTAAATTTTACTAAACTAAACCAGAAGGGGAAAGAGTCCATGCACCGAAGTTCTGAGTGTAGACCTGTTCATGGGCAGTCCGCCCGGAGGCCCAAGCCCGAAAGCCTAGCATCCGGTCTGGGCTCGGGCTCCACTTTTTTTGCCTGATGCCCAACCTGAAAGCATGAAAAGGAATGACTAAAAATACAGATTCTCAACAACAACAAAAAAGAATAAAAATACATTTCTCTTGAGAAAAAGTATAATATACAATCTCCGTTTGAAAATATATTTCGTCTTGGTGGGCTAGAGATAGTATTATTTTAATACTCCATCCGTCTCAAAATAAATGTCTTAATTTTAGTACAACTTTATACTAAAGTTGACACACTTACTTTGGAACGATGAGTACTATCCCATAAATGGTTATTTTAATTAAAAAATTGCTCTGCCTGCAAAAGGATCAAGCATGTATATCCTGATCCCATGAAGCCTCGCTCAAGTCTCTGATCTTGGATACGGTGATTCACCTCGATCTTCATTTCCTCAAGTGGTTGTAGATCTAGGTGGAGGTGGCCTCCTGTCCACAAAACTCGAACACATATTTTACAACAACGTTCAAGTGCGCCTCCTTGAACCCCTTGACGGTCCTCATCCCACTAGTTATGATCTGACACATCTTGTTAAGCACACATGTTGACTGAAACAGCTGCCATTTCATGGAGTTCCCATGTGCCATCCTTCTTATCCTTTGCGGCTGGCTTGTGAGTAGCAGCATGAGTTGCAACATTGGAATGACCCAACACAAATGCTGAAGCCACAAATGGTGGAACCATACTCGACACCTCACAAACATCGGAATCAGGAGGCATCTGGTCGATGGGAGGCTGAGAATCCTCGACGTAAGACGCGGGGAACTGGCTCTAGGATAGGACAAGGGCCTGACTAAACTCTTGCGTGCTCATGTACTATAAGTGTAAGCATCAACAAGAGCACAACACACTACATATGAATAGTAGAAACTACCAGTAAACATGGACAGTATGAACGAACACTATATATGAACAGATCGAACAAGCACTACCACATGCACAGATGGATGATCTAGTTCAACACATCAGCTCAATTCATAGCAAGGAGTTCAACAAACTAGCAAACACACTTGCATACAATCATACTACACATCAAACATACTACCAGTCCATCCATCATCACTAGCTATCAATCTTTGCCAACATGAAAACAACTCCTAGCATGCTTCAAATCCATCACCACTAGCTATACCAGAACATCACACTCACACAGATCGGCGGTGTACAATGCTACAATATGATCACAGATCTAACCCTACCACAATGCTCACAGATCTAGGTAGAACTAGTAATGGGGTGAATGAACTCACACACGCCGTCAGAGCAGTCGTGAAGGAGGCGCTAAACATGTCGAAGAAGTGGATGAGTCGAATTTCCACCGCCGTCAACCAGTGGCCGGAGCAGTAGCGCTGCTTACCTCGTCGTCGGTGTCGATCCACGATGGAAGGAAAGCTCGAGAGGGGAAAATGGTGACAGTAGTTTTGGCACTGCAGTGAGGCTGGCTATATAGGGCGGCCGAATTGGTGGGAAGTAACGCCAATTCCTCCTGATGCTTTTTTGGAGACGTGCGCGAGCTCCCGCTCAGCGGTGTTCCCGTCCCCTGCATCGCTCGTGCCTGACTCGCTGGAAACGACCAATTTGGCTGTTTCTAACAGGTCTGGCTGAGGAGTGCTTTAGGTTCATCCGGGCCAAGATTCTCATGCAGGTCAGGCAACCAAACAACCAATTTTTTTCTCACCCGAGCTTGATTGAGCTTGATGCAAGCAACCAAATGCGTTCTAGAGCTTCGGATAAGAACTAGAAAAATATACGAACACGTCGTCAAGCACCATCATCTGAGCCAGACTCAATAATGCGAACGCCCAGGACGACCGGACGAAGCTCGAAAGCAAACGACCTAACCACCGCGTGGCCCTGTCTTCTTGAAGCACCTCGAAGGCCTTTTTTTTAGCATCAGTACAGCTACAAGCGCTCATATACACACGTATACACTCATCTCTATGAACGCACATATGCACACCCTGCTCCTATGAGCACCTTCGAGAGACTGATCCGGCATATCATCTTGAGATTTACAAAGCCACCGTAGGCGCCTCGTCATCGAGGGGAACGTCTCCTCCCGCTGAAAGCGCATCGCCGAAAATTCTGAAATAAATCCAAAAATAATGCGAGCATCAGGATTTGAATCCTGGTGGGTTGGAGATACCGCTGTCCACCTAACCATCTCAACCACAGGTTAGTTCGGGCATCTCGAAGGCCTTAGGTCCGCCTTTAGTGGGAGTTGTGACTGCATCACATAAGAAGGATTTTGGGATTTTGGAAAACTAGAGCAGACCCACGCGGAGAAATTGACCCAAGTAGTGACTTTTTATACTTTCTCTGTCGAGTGAATTGCAAAAAACCACCACATTTCAAGTTGAAGCATCAGATTGCCACCACATTTGTTGCGCGTCCCAAAAATCCACCACTTTTCTTGTAAATTTTCGCAATAAAAACAAATGACTGCTTTGCCGCAGTTAACCCGATTTCTGACAGAGCTGGCCCACCCGTCAGGTGCCACGTCGCACAAACCAGACGGCGCACGGGTTGACGGCCGTTAGGGCAGGCGCGTGGTCAAAACGTTGCCCTCCACTCGCCGCCGCTCCACTCGCTCACTCTCACTCTCACTCCCCCCACTCTGCTCTGTCCTCTGCTGTCGCCGCCGGAGCTCTTCGCCACCGCTGGAGGCACGGTTCCCTCACCGCCGTTGAAGCTGCCATCATGGAATGATGGAGAGGAGAGCAGCGAGGAGGAGCTGGTCGGCATGAAGCTCGAGCAAAACTGGGTAAGAAATCTGATCTGTTTCGCACCAAGGATTAGGGTTAGGGTTCAAGTGTTCTTCGTTTTGAGACAATGGTTTGGAGCACTTGCGCTATGTTCTGAGCACTTGCACTTGTGCTACAATGCAGGCGAACCCTGACACCACCATAGATGCATCCTTCTGTGGTAGAGCTGCAGATGCAAGCATCACATGTAGACTGCACTTGGCCCCATGCATGAAATATGTTGCATTTGAAGGAAAGGACACTGGGAGGAGGTTCTATGGATGTGTTGTTCCTAAGGTCAGTCAGTAATACCCAACTAGGGTTTGTGTTTTTGGTAGTTAGTCTGCAA